TTGGGGAGGGGGAGGGGTTGGGGCGGGGCCGGGGGCCGTGGAGTGTCCTCCATTTGGAGGCACAGAATATGGTAACCCTAGCGTTAAAGTCGCCTCCAGGGCTGCTGCTCCCCCCTGGCTGGGGAACCCCCCAGTGACTCCGTCCCCGCTCCCCAGCCTGGCGTCCCCTCTGCGGGGTCAGGGCTCAGGGCAGATCCTGGCTCTGAGCGTCCCATTGGCACCGAGCCCCCGTGAGGGTCTGGCTGGGGGTGGGGCTGGGAACGGGGACGCTGAGCCGGGCCCCTCACCTCTCACCACCAGCTCCACGGGGTCACTGGGGTACGACACGGCGAATGGCTTAGATCTGCTGTGATAGGAGCAGCTGTAGCTCCCACCGTCCTCCCGGCTCACGTTGCTGACGGAAAACACAACCTTCGATCCATCCGAATCCACAGGTGAGAAATGGCGTCGCTCTTTATTCAGCACGATCTTCACTCCCTGGCCCTGCCCCTGACACCAGACGCTCACAGATCGCCCCAGGGGGACCTCCTTGCTGGGTATCATGGAGATGTTGGGTTTGGTGTAGTTGGGCTCTGCAGTGGGAAGCAGACAGGCCGTGAGACGCAGACCCCGGGCGGGGAGGGCCCGACATGACAACCCAGTTACCAGCCCCTCCCCATCCCAGCTCCCAGCTCAGTGCTGGGTGTCCAGGGGAGTGGGGAGGGGCTAACTGAGCAGAGCCTGGGCCCTGTCACAGAGTATTGGGGAACTCAGGGCCCTGCATCCCCGGCTTCCTGCGATTCACCATGACTCTCAGCCAGCCAGTAAAGCAGAAGGTTTATTTGGATGACAGGAATACAGTCCAAGACAGTCTTGCAGGCACAGACAACAGGGCCCCCCTCAGTTAGGTCCAGCTTGGGGTCCCAGGGCATCCCAGCCCACCCCCCTTTGGGGGGTCAGAGCCATCTCTGCCTCCCAGCCAACTCTCCAGCCCGCTTCCAACACTCTGCCTTCAGCGACCTCTCCCACAGCCTTTGTTCAGTTTCCCGGGCCAAGGTGTCACCTGGCCTCCAACCCCTTCCTGGGTTCTCATGTTACACGCTCAGGTATTCGCCTTCGGGTCGACTCCCATCCCCCAATGCAGACTATCCTAGCCACAATCCCCTGTCATCATTCACACACCACAGTACGAACAGGCCCAGTTCGTCACACCAGCCCCTCCCCAGCCCAGCTCCCAACTGAGTGCTGGGTGTCCAGGGGAGTGGGGAGGCGCTGGCTGAGCAGAGCCTGGGCCCCGAGCCCTCTGTGCATCCCCCGTGATGGGGAGTATCCCCCTGGGAAAGGCCCCCTGATCCACACCTCTCCCGGGGAACAGGGATCCCCCCTCCCTCAATCTCCAGCGGCTGCTGCTCCCCCCAGTGACTCCATCCCCCATGGGCGATGGGTGTATCCCCCTTTCCAGGAGGCTAGCCCTGCAACCCAACCCTCGCCCCCCCGCACACACACACACTGCACAAGGCCCCGCTTCTACTGGCAGGAGCCCTGAGTGCCCCTCGCCATCCCCTCCCCTGGCCGGAGAAACCCCAGCTGGCCAGAACCTCGAGCCAGCCCCCCATCCCCATCTGCAGAGGACCCCTGACACAGCCCCAGGCCCAGGTCAGCCCCAGCCAGCCAACCGACTCCAGTTCCAGCTGTGCGAGGCTGAGCAGCTCCAGCTGCGCTGGTCGGCCAGGGTGACCCCAGCCCTGTGCTAGGCCAGAGCAACCCCAGCCCCCAGCCACAGCCACCGGCCTTCCTCTGCCCCAAATCTCCAGTGGCTGCTTCTCCCCCCTGGCTGGGGAACCCTCAAGTGACTCTGTCCCCACTCCCCGGCCAGGCGTCCCCTCTGCTGGGCCCAGAGATAAGGGCAGAGCCTGGCTCTGAGCGTCCTATCAGTGCAGAGACCCCCTGTGGGTCTGGCTAGGTGGGGGACTGGGAGCTGGGCCCCTGAGCCGGGCCCCTCCCTCACCTCCTACAATGATCTCGACGGGGTCGCTGAGTTGCGATGTGCGATTCTGTTCCGTTATGGAGCGATAGTCGCAGGTGTAGTTCCCTCCATCTTCCCGGCTGACACTGGGGATGGGAAATTCAGCCACGGTCCCATCAGGCACCGTCTGCCTCTGCGGGTTCAGTTGTCCAGCTTTATGCAGAAAGAACTCCATGCCCGGGTACAAACCCTCACAGCGGATGGTGACGTTTCCCCCAAGCGCCACCACCCTGCTGGGGCTCGGCGAGATGGTGGGTTTGAGAAATTCACGCCCTGCTTTCAACAAGAGACAGGAGTTAAACAGGGGAGACACAGCCCCCACCTCCCCCCTGCCCCAATTCAGTCCATCCGTCATTCGGCCTCTCTGGGAGTCTGTCCCCTACCAGGGATGGCACTGCTGCCCATGGGGCTTGGGGGCAGGGGGTTCACCCAGACGTAGCTCAGGTTCCGGCTGCATGAGAGATCCCCTGCCTCCTCCCCGCCCCGCCTGATGCCAGCCAGGGAGCCTGACCAGTGGTCCCCTGCAGCTCTGCCCCCCATCTCGGGGTTGGAAATAGAGGCTGTGACTGGCAGGAATCTCACAAAACCCACCTTTCCCCAGGCCTAGGGATCGGGGGTGTGGCTGTGAGTGCAGGGGAGGGAGGTGTTGGGATGGATCTCGGGACAGGGGAGGATCTGGGGGTTCTGCCTGCGGCTGCACTGACCGTGAACATTTCGAATCCCTGAGGGGATCTAGAGCCCATGGATGGGCCCTGTTAGCATCTGTATGAGCTGAAATAAATCCACATGCTGCCCCCGCTCATTCCTCACAGCCTGGGGGTGGGGGGGTGGGGGCAGGACATTAAACTAGAGGATGGTTCCCGTCTGTTTCGTCAGACCCCTCGAGCCAGAGTCAGCTCCTAGTTATTCCCTAGCGGGGCCGGGACTGGGGAGGTTCACAGAAGAACGGGGCCAGGTCTGAGCTCACGGGGGGAGTTTGGGTTGAGTTTGGGGGAAGGTTCAGGGCTCAGTTCCTCTTTTCTCCACCCCACGTATCCCCTCCCCCGTCCTTGATGTTATCATCCTCCCCACAGACTGATACTCACCTCCCCACACTCCGCTGTGCCCGGCCAGCCAGCAGCCTAGAGAGGAGACGGCTCATTAGTGACCAGATCCCAGAGTAACTGGATCCTACACCCTGGTCTCAGATCCCACCAACCATGGGCACACACCCTGGTCTCAGATCTCCCCATGGGCACACACCCTGGCTTTATTCGATACTCACTGAGGAAGAGGACAGTGCGAGCAGATGCCATGATGGGGGCAGCCAGGGGCCCCTCAGCACTGCCACCAACACCCGAAGCCCAACTCAACCAAGCCCCAAATGAGGAACTCAGCTGGTGGCTCCAGCTACAGGAAGTGAACGATGTGTCGTCTCTTCCTGCATCTATCATATGTTGGCTCTAATCTGCAGGTGAAATCTAGGGCAGGCAAAGCAAGCAGAGGTCCCTGTAAAGCCCAGGAAACCCTGGGCCCGTCATAACAAGGGTGAGGCGAGTGAGGCGTTTGCCTCGGGCATGCAAAGTTGGGAGGGTACAGAAAGTGGTGGAGAGGGGAAAAAAGGCTGCTGACACTGAGATATTTATAACCTGGGTGATCGCCCCTCTGGCCCCACCTGCGCCCCCCCCCGAGTGTCCCCCAACCCTGATTTACTTTCCGCCCACCATTCCTGGCCATGGAGCAGAGCAGCTCCATGCTGCCTCCCTGCGGCAGGGTTCTAGTGGCCCCTTCTCCCCTGACTATGAGCCTGCCCTTCCCCCTCAGACCCTTCCCTTTTCTGGCCGGACCCTCCAGGAGCACAGAAAGCCCCCCCACCCGCAGTCACCGCTCCTGCCCCATGCTGGGCAAGGAGGCAGCCCCATCCCTCACCCCCAGTGGGGCTACAGTCAGGGGCAACAGTAGGGGAGGAGGCGCATGCAGCAACCCCCGGCACCCACCATGGGGGAGGTGAGGGAGATTCCAGGACCTGAGAGGGGCCCTAGGAGCACATGCAGTGACAGTGGTGGGGGGTGAGTGTGCTGCTGGGGGGGCAGGAAAGGGGGGCTCCTCCCCCAGAGTTTGCTGCTGCTAGCAGGGAAAGGCCTGGGGGGAGTCCTCCTGTCTGGCCCCTGACCCGGAGCAGCCTGCCTGCACCCCAAACTCATCCCCAGCCCTGCCCCACCTCAGAGCCCACACCCCCAGTCAGAGCTTTCACCTCCCCACCACACCCTCAACCCTCTGCCCCAGCCCTGAGCCCCTCCAGCACCCCAAACACCTTATCCTCAGTCCTAGCCAGTGCCCTCACCCCCCACACTCCTACTTTCACCCTGAGGCTCTCCCACACCCCAAACCTCCCATTCCCAGACCCAGACAGAGCCCTCACCCCTACTCTCGCCCTGAGCCCCTCCAACACTCCAAACCCCTCAGCCTGCAGCCACAACCCACAGCCCTCACCCCTGCACCCCATCCCTCTGCACCCCTCCCATCCCCAAACTGCCTCCCAGAGCCTGCACCCCAATCTCCTGCCCCAGCCTAGGGCCTGCACCCCAGACCTCCTCCCTCATCCAAACTCCCTCCAAGAGCCTTGGGCAGGTGGGGGAGCAGAGTTTGGGTGGGGGCGGGTTCTGGGCACCACCAAAATTTCTACAAACCTGCCACCCCTGATCCTGCCCTGCAAACCTGAACTCCCAGCATTCTCAGGACACATGCTGATATCCAGCACCTCCTTCCTCTCTTAACCTGTGAGTCCCTCTCTGGATTGGAACTGGACTGGAACCAAAGACCATCTTGGAAGCAACATTACCAGCCCAAGCAGTCAAAAATCATGAGTTAGACCCCCCAAAATCACAGGCTGTACCGCCGCCACTTCATTCATTCTTCGGCAGCAATTCGGCGGCAGGCCCTTCCCTCCAAGAGGGACTGAGGGACCCGCGGCCAAATTGCCGCTGAAGAGCTGGCCCTGGGGGAGGGCGCAATTTTATATTCTTGCCTCGGGTGCAAAAATACCTAGTTATGGCTCTGCCCTGGCCCCTCAGCCTGGCCAAGCATCATGCAGCTCCCAGCTTCTCTATGTCTCTGTGGGGACTCGGGAGAGGTCCCTGTGATGCAGCAGGGAGTGGGAAGTATTGACCTAGGAAGGTTGCAGGGGAGTTTGGCTGGGAATGTCTGCATGGGGGACGGGAGACTTTCCTTGAGGGAAGATACCTGAGCATGTAACATGAGAGCCCAGGATGCGGGGGTTGGGGCCAGGTGACACCTTCTGCCTGGGAAACTGGACAAAGGCTGGAGGAGGAACCAGGGAGAGGGGGTGTGAGACAGCTGGAAGGGGTTTCAGTTTGGAGCTGGCTGGGGAAATGGAGGGAGTTCCAGGATTGATCCCAGCAAATACAGATCAGTAAGTCTAACGTCAGTACCGGGCAAGAATAAAATTGTCAGACACATAGAAGAACATAAATTGTTGGGAAAAGTCAACATGGTTTCTGTAAAGGGAAATTGTGTCTTACTAATCTATTACAGCTCTCTGAAGGGGTCAACAAACATGTGGACAAGGGGGATCCAGTGGACATAGTGTACTTAAGATTTCCAGAAAGCCTTTGACAAGGTCCCTCACCAAAGGCTCTTATGTAAATTAGGTTCTCATGGGATAAGAGGGAAGGTCCTTTCATGGATTGAGAACTGGTTATAAGACAGGGAACAAAGGGTAGGAATAAATGGTAAATTCTCAGAATGGTGAGGGGTAACTAGTGGTGTTCCCCAAGGGTCAGTCCTAGGACCAATCCTATTCAACTTATTCATAAATGATCTGGAAAAAGGGGTAAACAACAGTGAGGTGGCAAAGTTTGCAGATGATACTAAACTGCTCAAGATAGTTAAGACCAAAGCAGACTGTGAAAACTTCAAAAAAATCTCACAAAACTAAGTGATGGGGCAACAGAATGGCAAATGAAATTTAATGTGGATAAATGTAATGCTCATTGGAAAAAATAATCCCAACTATACATACAATATGATGGGGGCTAATTTAGGTACAACAAGTCAGGAAAAAGATCTTGGAGTCATCGTGGATAGTTCTCTGAAGATGTGCACGCAGTGTGTAGCGGCGGTCAAAAAGGTAAACAGGATGTTAGGAATCATTAAAAAGTGGATAGAGAATAAGATGGAGAGTATCTTATTTCCCTTATATAGATCCATGGTACGCCCACATCTTGAATACTGCATACAGATGTGGTCTTCTCATCTCAAAAAAGATATACTGGTATTAGAAAAGATTCAGAAAAGGGCAACTAAAATGATTAGGGGTTTGGAACGGGTCCTATATGAGGAGAGATTAAAGAGGCTAGGACTCTTCAGCTTCGAAAAGAGGAGACTAAGGGGGGATATGATAGAGGTATATAAAATCATGTGTGGTGTGGAGAAAGTAAATAAGGAAAAGTTATTTACTTATTCCCATAATACAAGAACTAGGGGCCACCAAATGAAATTAATGGGCAGCAGGTTTAAAACAAATAAAAGGAAGTTCTTCTTCACACAGCCCACAGTCAACCTGTGGAACTCCTTGCCTGAGGAGGTTGTGAAGGCTAGGACCATAACAGCGTTTAAAAGAGAACTGGATAAATTCATGGTGGTTAAGTCCATTAATGGCTATTAGCCAGGATAGGTAAGGAATGGTGTGTCGGAGAAAAACACAGTTTACATTCCATATTGTCTGCACATTATCTAGGCATTATCTACACAAGGTCCCAACAACTTCTCACACAGTCATGCATTACAATCCCCTTCCTGTCAGTTCTTTCTCTGCTTCCACACCTCCCCCGTTTTGTACTACTAGTACAAAAATCATTCTCAAATCTCTATTTGCATTAAGTCTTGGAATTCAGATTCTACATCAGATGCTTCAACCTTAGGGGTACTGATTGGATGTAATGACAATGCATGATGAGCATGGACATGAAAGGTATGACTATTAGTACGTCCTTTACAACAACAATAACATACTCCTAAGATAACTAATAGCAATACAAGCTAAGGGCTACTTGCAAGATTCTATCTGCAGGCCAGGAAATAATATAATTGCCTGCAGTAGTAGTGAGATTAAAATGTATGTCTTGCAATGTGGTGGCTTTAACATACACACAGCTATCATTAGCTTGAGAAAGTAAGTGTCCTGTCAGGGTAGTTCCGTGTCCCCTACCCTCCCAGCAAACGTAGTCATGAACAGTGACAACTTCTCCTGGCTTCGGTTTACATGTACACTGAAGCTGTGGGGGTTCTAACGGTCAAAATGTCCATTGACTCCCTACCCCATCCAAATGTCAGGTGTTATCCCAGGAGTACTGACAAAAATCGATTGGGCATACCAGGTAGTCTAATCTCCCAGATGTCTCGGTGAATCACCCAATCACACATGCATCCTTCCCATGGACCCGGCAGGATTTGGTATGTGGGAGCCCACACCCCCCTAACTGGTGATATGCTTGGGAGGAGCACTGAGAACATCCGCACTTCCACCCAGAAAGTCTTCAAGTATGTCTCCATGGCCACAGATCAGATGGTACTCCTGATGTGTCTGTAAGGGCAGTGGGCCAAGCCTGATGCTCTAGATCATTCCGAACGGCCATTAGCTGGTCATTCAGGAAATCCTGAATTTCTGAACATGCTAGATCCCACTGCAATGCCTTCCCAGCCTCAGACATATTCAATACCATCTCTGTCAGCAACTTCTGGGTCATAGAACTAAGGGTGGAAATAACATGTAACTCACCAACTCCAGCCTGTACCTGGGTTAGCTGTGCCCCAGAAGTAAGGCTAGTGGCCTTCTCTAGTTGCCCCAATTTCTCATTATGTTCTTGTTTCTTAAAAATATTCTAAACTGCTGCTGCACTATTGGCCCCATCCAATAGGCATCCGGTCAAGTCTCTCTTCTTTCTAGAGGAAATAACCCAAGCCCTCTATTATGCTAATCTAATGGCAGCCCCCTTTGAACGATTTGGGTATGTAGAGGTGATCTGGAAACTGGATAAGGGCAATGAAAATGTAACAGTCCCTAGTGTAGTGTTAATCACAGTCCATCGATATCCTAATACATCTCACTTTGGTGTAGTACTGTACCACATCTGTTGGTTGAACAAATTTATGTACTTCCGGGAGGCTTGCAATAAGGTACAGGTAACATTATTAGTCACTGGAATAATTTCTATGCAGGTAAAATTTCCAGTGGGAGAACAAACTCTTTGGGTATTCGTTTCATTATTCACTAATTGGGTGACCAAATAACAATAAGGGCCTCTCGCGTTTAACACAGTGCAAATTCCAGGAACAGCCATC